CCCAAGAAGGGGGCTAATGTTTTTTGTTTATTTTTTGGGACAACAGAGGAGACTGAACATTTGAAACCCGACGCCTCTTGGGGCCGGTTTCTGAAACACAAACATTAAAATGTCTTTTCAACTGCAGCTGAACATTGTCTCTCTGTTTTTGAAGTCCCTGTGAAGACAGTCCTGCTGTTAGGAGGAATTTGACTTCTTCTTCCAAGCTGCTGAACTGTCCTGCTGACTCGGAAGGGGGGCCTCTGCTCCATGCCGATTGACGGGGAGACTGCGGCTTGCTGGAAGGGTCGGCGGGCTGGGCCTTTGAAGTCCCGGGCGTCACTGCCATCTTGAACGGAGGAGTATGAGACGCAGACCTGGATGTGCTCGGGGCCTTGGGCCTCGTGTCGCATCTGGGGATGATGCAGCGAAGTGCCTCAGCCTGCTTCTTCCTCTGTTCAAATTTGGTTTGAATGACGTCACACGCTTGACCAAACAGTCCTGTAGGCATTATCAGTTCATCCATGTAGGCCGCTCTGTCCTTGTCGGGAACGTCTGKGAGCGTTAGCCACAGGTGCCTCTGCGCCACCACAGTGGAAGCCATTCCTTCCCCCCAGAGCCAGCGCTGCACAGCAGGACACACGCAGAATGTGGTCTGACGCCAGTCTGATCTCGTTCAGCAGGGGTAAAAGGGGGTTTTCCTGCGGCATCTGAGCTGCCAGTTCAGCCAAGMCCATGGCCTGGTAGGTCTGAAGCATGGTGTTGGAGCTCAGCGCAAGGGCGGTGTTACCTTGGGCTTTGGAGACTTTCTCCAGCTGTGCCAAAGAGAATCTGCAGGGCTTGGAAGGGAGCAGGGTGGGKCCGCTCACACCCTGGTTGTGAGACGGAGCCAAATAAGTGGCTAAAGATGGCTCCATTGGAGGGATGCTCACCTGGCCTGCTTGGTCTGCCCCTTCCACGTCCAAGTACTGACCCTGTCCGGGCACGATGGCGCGGATGGACAGCGGTTTGCTCCAGGAAGATGTCAGGTCCGACACAAAGTCCGGAAACATAGGCAGACTGTACTTCACATCAGCCGGTTCAGACAGGAGATAAAACCCTGCGAACCTCGACGGCTTTTGAGCAGGTGGGGGGGTCGGGCCACCGTACCTCCAGTTTAGCAGAAGCTCAGTGGCACAGGGACAAGAAGGACGAATCCTGGTCCACCCTCGCAGCAGTGGGGGTGGAGTGAGCTGGGCACGGCTCCTCGTTGTCTTCGAACAGACTGAGAACCTCCTGCTCCATCTGCAGAACATCGTCCTCCTCTTGGTTTAGATCCAGTAGAAACTGGGTCTCGCCCCCCTCGATGTCAGGTGAGGCCGCCTCGTGCTCCATCTGGTCCGCCCAGCTAGTGGTAGGGGCTTCGACCACTGAATCCTTGTCTTTGTCGGACTGAGTCGTCTGACTGGATTCGGAGAGCTGCGGGTCTTATCGGAAAACAGCAGTTTCCCCAGCATTTTCGCCAGGAATTTCACTCTCCTCTCCAGTGTCGGACGCGAAAGTCCGGCACAGGCCCGGCAGGACTCAGGCTCCACAAGCGCCCGTCGAGTGTGAATGATTCCTAGGCAGGCCGGGCAGGCCTCATGCTGGTCCTTCTCATGAAGCTTAAAGCCGCACCCCTGAGGACAGAAGCTAACAGAAGACTTCGGCTTCTTCGAAGGTGGTTTTGTGCTCATCGTGAACCACAAAACAGATTTTCAGTAGAAAATAAAGGTCACATAAGTAGCATCGAGTGGCAGACACACAAACCAGCAGGTAACGTGGTTAGCACCAGTAAGCTAGCCTAAGAACCTTCTAGAAGCTGAGCTAGCTAGCAGCAGCTATGTGAGCTTAGGTTTAGAGGTGACTATCGCGAGGTGAAGGGTGATAGAACTGAGTAATGACGCTGTTGACTCCGAACTTATAGGGTGAAGGCGGAGTCTGTCGCCCGACATTCAACATCACCATGTCACCGGTCGAAAGACGTGATTAGAGGTGGCTTCAGCCAGGCGCTTGATGGCGCGCTTGTCCCATATACAACTGTGTGTTGTACTGAGTGAAATGATTGAAAAGGAACTGAACATAATAAAGTTGTGTGTCTCTGTGTGTGTGCATACTTCACATTCTGCGCCTTCATCCTCCTCTGATATGTTCTTCAAGTGGACTGCATGTTGGTTTGGTATTTATAATATTCCAAAAGAGAAAAACCTGCCCAGGCTTTCTGCTGCGGGTGTCCATCTTCTGACTTTAGTTCAGATTCTGAGTTCTGGTGTAGTCCTAACTGGACCGCAGCTTCGATCTTTTGGAAGAATACAACGTTTCCTGTGTGTAAATATGCTCAAATGAATTCTATACTTGTGCACCCAAATGCATCAACAGGTCACATTTGCGGGGCTGCGAGAACTTCTGGGTCATATCCGCTGTCTAAAACAGAAGTTACAAAATCGAAACTGACCTGTCTTTATTCGTTTTTATTTATTTTTTATTATTATTATTGCTTTGTGCACAAAATCGGAAATCGGATAACGGTTCGTAATCCGTTTTATTTTTTGTTTGTTTGTTTGTTTGTTTTGTTTTTGTTTTGGATCAAAAAACGAAAAACGAAAAAACGTGCTGTTTTTGTTTTTTCATTTTTTGTTTCAAATGAAAAAACGAACTGCGTAAATGTACACGGACCCCACAGGAAGGTAAACCCTAGCTCATTCGGACTGAGCCCGGCCATTCCCATGGGTAGAGACCCGGCCACCAGGCACTCGCTGACGAGTCCCTCCCCAGGCCTGGCTCCAGGGTGGGGCCCCGGTAACCCACATTCAGGCAAGGAACACTGCATTTTAGCACCCGTTGTTAAATGTAACTGATTGTTCTCTTTTCCTTTCTCCAAGCAGACGAGCAGGAGAAAGTGTGCTTAAAGGTGCAGTCTGTGACTTTTTAAAATACATATTTTTTGACATATTTGTTAAAACTGTCACTATGTACTGACAGATTGATATTAGACAGATAGTCTCTGAAAAAAAAGGGGAAAAAAAGTCCTCTGGCTCCTCCCGGTGGTCCTATAACCCTCGGTTAAAATCTCCTCGACCCAAGGACCGACAGCCAATCAAAAGCGAGGTTTGTCTTATGAACGAGCTGTTCTTGCCCTCCCCCGATCCCTGCCCACGCAGCACGCACGCCGCGCAGCCGAGCTAGCACGCTCTCATTCAAACAGTAAGCTAGCTGAGTGAAGCTGAACCCCTCCAACAACCTACATACAACCTCGATTGGCGCCTGTTCTGAAACCCAACACAAGGAAACAAAAGAAGACCCAGGAAGAAATCCAAGTTGAAAAGAATAGATAACTCTAGGGGTCGTGCGTCGCGTCACGTACATTTTGGGCAGCGCGCAAGGAAGGCGGAAGGGGCACAGAGTGTTTTCCGCGCATGCTGTGCTGCGGAAGCAGCCGCCGCCTGAGCCGCCGCCAGAGTTCAAATATCTGAACTTTTCGCCGCTTGACGCGTCTCCCACTGAAAACCTAAACAGACGGACTGTAGATCTTTACCTGAAATCGACCGTGTGCAGTTGGATTTTCTGGCAAGATATATCAGCACCGATGTGGATCAGCTGCTCGGGACCAAAAAAATAAAAATAAAAAGTCAGTCAGCTGGCAGCTTCTGGAGTGACGAAATTAACTGAACAAATCGCCTCTAAATCATCTGCTGAGTTAATTATCTGCTGTGCGCAAAGTTCGCTTGCTCTTTAGTAAATAAATCAAAGCCTTTTTCTATTTTATCTTTATTCACCCGCCGAGGAGACGCTCCTCCCACACCCAGCTGCAGCCGCCGCTGCTGATATTCTGGTCTGAACACTAGTCCATTCTTCGGTCTGAACATAGGACGTCCAACGAGAGGCGTTTTGCGCTTTTTGGCCGCTCAAAACGCATTTGGTGTGAAAGTAGCATCAGATTATTCAGCCTTTCTAAACCATTCCATTCACACCTGTCTGCATTTGTAATTAGCTTAGCTGTTTTCCATTTCCACTCATCTCTGCTTGTACAAATCCTGCTCAGTTTCTCTTCACCTTTGTCCGATCATTGTTTGGTTCATGTTCTGTCCTGGCTCCCTTGTGTTCCTCTTGCTTATTAGTTTTCAGTTTTTTGCCACCACGCTGGCCTTTAATTTAATAAAGTTTTGTTTAATTTTTAAGTCTGCCTGCCTGCATTTGGGTCCATTCTGCCACCAAAACCTTGTCAAAGAAGGTGTGGAGCTGAGAGACTTGCTGAAGAAGCTGGAGCTTCAAAAAACCTAAGATGGACCAGAACCATTTTGGGAAAACGTAATTTTTATTTACTTTTTAATTTTTGACTTGCCGACCCCAAGGGGTCTGAAGGCTGTTTGTGATGGTGTGCCAAGCTGTCTCCGTGATTCTGCATGAACCTATCCGTAATTACCTCCCGGGCAGATCTGGCTGGACTTTAGGGGTCTGAGACGCCTTACCTCATGTGACAGACAAATGTCCCCAACTCCTATGAGTTAGTGAACTGTCAGGCATTACACAAATGGTTCACAGAACAATCCTGGTTAACCAGTCCTGCAGAAAGATTGTCTTCTTTCTGCAGCAACATAAAAGTTACTAAAATAATCTGGCTCAGATCTTAACACCTTTTTTTCTAAATTTCAAGAATTTACAGGTTTTAATCTGGATCTCTTGTCAACTAATTAATAGAAGAAAAATATTTCCTTTGGGAAAAACATATTTTCATTCTATAAAGGTTGAAACATCCAGACCTTATCTTAATTAGACGTATAATAAAGTCTACAAGTCTAATAAAAGTCTACAATCTTTTTAATCTTTAACTGTTTTATAAACCTTATTGTCTTTCATATTGCTATTTTTACCATTTTAGTCATGATTCAATTAAATTGATTCTTGCTAAATTTTTGTAATAAACTACCATGAAAGACAAAGCTGATTCCTCATTTCAACTACAGAATAAAAGTCCAGTTTTATTGTTTTTAATACACAGTAKATTTTATTTTATGCTTCTAGCATTTATTTGGTTTGGTTTCATGCATGTCTTTATCCATCAATACAAACAGAAACTCTTAAACCTTCAAGCTTTCTTCATCTACTCTTCAGCTGTTGCTTGTTGCAAGAGCTTCTCCCAGTATATCAACYAATCGACGAATGTCTCTGAAGGAGTTGTAGAGTGGGACTGGAGCAATCCGTAGAACACTGGGCTCTCTCATGTCACACTGAGCAACAGGAAATGACAAAATATGTTCAGCTGTTCTGTAAGATAACTGTTCCTCCAACACCATCACGTCCCACTAAGAATAGTTTAAAATCTTTAAGAAACACTTACAACAACTCCCCTCTTTTCCAGCTCCTGGAAGACTCTCCTTATGGGGACAGAGAAGGAGAGTGACAGCTGGCAGCCTCTCTGTTGAGGGTCTGAGGGTGTGATGATGTGGACGTGAGGCTTGGACAGATCCTTAGTGTAGAAGTATTTAATCAGGTACTCCAGGTAGCCAGTAAGGAGTACAGATTTGCTGCACAGTGCCTGCATATTGGTCATGTTAAAGACCTAGAAACATTTAAAAACATCTCTTTTATCTTCTTAATTTTACTTTCTGTGAAAGCAAATAAGAAACAACATGTCTTTAGCCAACATTAGGCAGAGAAAGCCACATGTTTTACCTCCAAGCTGGCCTGCAGGGAGCAGACAAGAAAAATTGGTTGGTTTGACAGTCTGAAACCTCTCACTCCAGGCTGCAGCTCCATCACTGGAAACATTAAACATCAGAAAATATTAAAGCCTGAGTAGTGAACTGTATAAACCGGAAAAAAGGGTATACATAATATTAGGCTGTAATACACAAGTTAACCACAAGATGGTAGCAAACTGTTTTTACTAAAGAGCTGAATGAAGAGTTTGTACCATTAGTCATCTGGAAGCGGGTTGTCAGGTCATGTCCCCACCATCCCAACAGCCTGTAAGAGACAGTCATTTATTATCAGTTGTTTATTTAGATTTTTATTAAGTAGCTGGAAAAATAACAAATGGAAATGAAACCCTGAACACAAAATTGCTCAAAAATACAGTTGATTTTGTCATGCACAAGCAGCTTTTTCTTTCATAATTCTAAACCTTTTAGGTCTCTCCAGACAGAGGTCTGGTTTTGGGAGGTTTATCAGTGTTTACCCTACCATTATCCAAGCCCCCCCAGCCAATGAAACGGCCCGCCCCTCCAAGAATTTTACAGCATGTAGTCATTTTTAAATAAGGGCAGATCAAGAGAGCTATTTTTGCAGTCACTCCTCCACATCCACTTCTCGCCAAATTTGGGGAAAAGAGATGTGCGCAGAGCGAGGCTGTGAGCAGATGAAACTGGTGAGGTCACCAGATTTTTGGGATGGGCATAGCCCCTCTCAGCCACCATGCATGTGCCAATATGCATATAATTATGACCTCTGATCATGTTTGAAACTTTGACTGCCATAACAACGATCAGAGAGGAAGAAAACCCCCTACTCTATGGCTACGTTCACACTGCAGGTCTTAATGCTCAGTTCCGATTTTTTGAAAAAATCCGATCTTTTTGTGTGAACGTTCACATTACATTTTAAATGTGACCTGTATCAGACCCCTGTGTGAACGCTKCACAGCACTGATGTGACACGCATGCACAGTAAAAGACGTGACGTCTCATCAGCCGGCTTGTTTGTTTACAGAGCTAGCATGGATGCTACATTTTGCGCATCGAATCGGAAGTTGTTGTTTAATCAGAGCCGATTAAATTATTATCTGACCTGCTTCCTTAGTTCAGTGTTTATATCTGAACCTACCTCTGACCGGGATTCTCCAGTGAAGCTTTTTTTTTTTTAAAGAAACTACGAGCTGGAAAAAAGTATCGACCGAGTATCGAACTTTAGGATCGATACTCTCCGCGACCCAGGCTGGACATGTTATTATCAAACTATCTACGTGGAAAATGAAAAGTAAAAAGATGAAGCAACTGGACTTGTGTTTTGGAGCTGTAAACACACGGAGCTGCAGATTTAAACAGCGAGACTTGAGGTTAGTGTCTTATCGATCCTTCACCCCCTCCTCCAGATGAAAAAGTCAGATGAATGTGACATGAGCGTTCACGCTGCAGTCATTTTGAAAACATCAGATATGTATCCGATTTAAAACCACATACTGAAACGGCCTGGGTCGGATTTGAAAAAATCGGATTTGTCGCGTTCAGACTGTCATAAAAAAATCGGATATGAGTCAGATGGGTCAAAAAAATCGGATTTGGGTCGGATTTGCCTGCAGTTTGAACGTAGCCTATGTGAATCTTTCATTTTGCAGAACTTCGGTTGTGACCTGAATTAACATTCCTTTGACTTGCCCAGACAATGTGTCCTCTTAACAGAACATTGTAGGAGAAACTCAGACTTGGCTACTACTTGCCCAGCAGGAAACCTGGCAGAGTTGTCACCTCCTTGATAGAATTACTTCCTGTTCCGAACCCCATAAGTTCTGTTGTGACCTTATAGGACTGTCTGTTTGCTTATCTTCAAAAGGACCATAAATTCCTTTGTTTAACCAAAAACTCTTTTCAGCTTGACGGATCAAATGACAACATTCCCCATTAAGTGTGAAAAAGAAGGGAAAGATAAATGAATGTTTTCTGTGTAGTTAATTCTGTTTTCAGAAGGGAAAGATAAATGAATGTTTTCTGTGTAGTTAATTCTGTTTTCATGTCTTAATCAAAGAAATGTGATTTTAGTCTGTATCTTACAGAAAGAAAAGGCCTGCCTAAAGATCCATTAAGTTTTGTTTAATGAAGTATTCACACTAAGTTTATGCATTTTCTGTATGGTGTTTAACTGTTTACAGGTGAAATGTCGCCTGACGAAGATGTGTTTTATTCCATGATTTAATCACTAGAAACTTTAGGACTTGAATTTTTAATTAAAAGTGTGACACTCTTATTTTACTGAGGCAAGCAGATGTCTCCACTTCTCCCCCTCTTTAATTAGGTGCACGATAATTAAACTAAAACACTCCCTTTTTCTTTGTCTTGAGGTAGAATTTTCCCTCCAAACGAGTTGATTCGCTGAAACCTTTTTCCTGTATAAGGTGTAACATTTTTATTGGCCAACTAACAACTAAACTCCTCCCCAAACAGAGTTTTTAAAAGTTAGTGCAGCTCCCAAAGTAGTCAGATTCCAACATCAGCAGTCAGAGAGAATCTTCAGAAGTCTGCTGTTCCAGGAGCCTCCGCCCCTGTCCTGCAGCTCCCTCATGGCAGTGCAGGACAGGCCCCTGCATCTTCAGCCAGCCAGGACTCTCCTGCCTCAGCATTTTAATGTCTTTTCATTAGAAATTAGTTTAATGTTATCTCGGCGGATTTTTGCAGAAGTTAAATAAGCTAAGTTTGACTCATGCGTTGTTTTAGTCCGTTTTTCCCTACAAAGTTCTGGACCAACTCCTCAACTCTGAAGCATCTTGAACGACGGCACCGCCGTCCATTCTCCAGCTGCCTCTCCCGCCTGACTGAAGGACCAGAAATAACCCAGACATCCCTGGTTGTCTGGCAACCAGCTTTGCTGAAGTATTTCCCTGGGACCACTCCTTGAGTTCTTCTTAGCAGCTGATGACCTCGCTTTGGTACCTAATTCAGCAGGAAGAAGGGTAGGAAAAGCTAAAGTTGCTGGGGACAAAGGTGCTCAGTTAAGTTGATCCTTATCTTTCATGGGAAATCTGATAAAATATAAAACTATTTACATACAGCGTTCCCTCATTTAACTAGGACTTTAGTTAAATCCTCCTCCTTAAGAAAAACTCCCCTCTTCTCAGCCTCAAAACCCCTCTTTAGTGTTATTTGTTTCTTTGTTTCTTTGTTTGTTTGTTTGTTTGCTGTTTTAAATGCTCACTCATTATTGGTCAAACTATTTCAGTATTTATCTGGTTGAGTAAGTCATCATTCCCTATCTACTATAGCCTGTAAATACATTTAATCTGTAAATAAACGATATATGATGAGCATGTCAACATAAGATCACGTCTAATTTCTGTGTCTTGATAAGGTTTTATTGATTTTGATACGAAAGAACTCATCAGATAATTTTTTCGGTAATGTTTTATTGTGAGACTGATTATAGTAAAGTTAACAGTTTTTCGTCATTTTCCTGGGTTAATTTTTGACCAAATTAAGAGCGTGGTGCCTCGAGGAAATAGAATTTATGAATCTAATAATTCATAAATTGTCACATTAAAATATACCCAAAAACCCCCTACACAAATGTGTGTGTGTGTATGGGGGGGGGGGGGGACGTTCAGGCTCAGAATTCTTTCCACTATCACCCCTGCGCCCCAATTACGCTGACCACACATAGATATTTCTCTCATCAGCTGACAGGAAGTGTGTGTGAGAATCTGGTCTCGTTAACAGGGAGACCCCCCCCCCCCCCACTAGAACAATGTTTTGAAGTGGGCAGGGCCAGATTCTGATGAACATGTTTTAAACAAGATTGTATTTCCTGATGTGGTGCAACTTGCAGAGAAAATAAACTTTGGAGGTTTTGAGCCCATTGTGACAGATTTTTGGAGGTTTTCAGCTCTTCTAGGCCCCTTTCACATGTATTTTTTTTTGATGTTTTGAGTTTTTTATTTTTATTTTTTGGCCCTCAGATCCATTTGACATAGTTTTTGGAGGTTTTGAATGGTTTTCAGCCCTCCAAGGCCCCTTTTAGATGTTTTTGGAGATTTTGTAGGATTTTTGGCCATCCTAGGCCCCCTATACCTGGTTTTTTGGAGGTTTTGAATGGTTGGCAATCCTCCTAGTCCCCCGTTTTTAGTAGTTTTTGAAGGTTTTGAGATGTATGTGGTCCTCTTAGGCCCTGTTAACATGGATTTTGGAGGTTTTGAGGGTTTTTGGTCATCCCAGGCCCCTTTTAAATGCTAAATGGACTATACTTGTATAGCGATTTTCTACCCAACCAAAGCGCTTCACACTGCACTCTGTGCCCTCATTTACCCATTCACACAGCACTCTACTGCTAGTTTTTGGCCCTCCTAGGTCTCTTTCATGTGGTTTTTAGCAGTTCTGAGGAGTTTTCGGTTCTCCTAGGCCCCTTTCACTTGTTTTTTTGAAGGGTTTGATGAGTTTTTCACCCTCCTAGGCCACTTTAAACCTGGATTTTTAATGTTTTGAGGGGTTTTTTTTGGCCCGCCTAGCCCCCTCTTGCAAGGTTTTGGTGGTTTTGACGTGCTTTTGTCCTTAGGACCCTTTTACCTGGCTTCTTGTAGTTTTGGGAGGTTTTGAGGGTTTTTTTTGGCCTTCCTAGGCCCTTTTTACCTCGATTAAGCCTGTTTACAGTACTTTCTACCCAATTTCAGTGGTTTCATGGCCTTCCTAACTTGTTTCCTGTTATACTCTAATTTTTGACCTCCCCAAGTCTGTTTTGACCACTTTTGAGTCTACCGTAACCTGCCTTTGTAGGGCCCTCTCTGGCAATGGCTCTTACAGTTGAGATTTTAAGGGCACATCTGGACAAACGGAGGCACATGTGAGGTTAAAAATAACAAATTTGGCTATGTTGTAACTGCCAGCACTCCTTCAGTTGCAACAAGAACAAAGCGGCACTGAGCTATGAGGGCCACCCATGCTGCTTGCTTTTTGAAATTTTTTTGTTTCAAAAAGTGAAATATGTTGCATTTTCAACAGCAAGTGATGTTTTATGTAAAATCCCTCCATCCATTACCTATACCCGCTTCTTCCTTTCAGGCAGAGAGCCCACGTATGCACAGAGAGAACATGCAAACTCTACCCAGAAAGGTCCCCCAGCCAGGATTTGATCCAGCGACCTTCTTGCTGAGAGGCAACAGCTCTACCAACTGAGCCACCGTGCCGCCCGGTTCAGAAAATGTTGATTTAAAATTTTATATTTTAAAACTAAATGTTTGAACAGTGGTGTTTGATTTTCTGTTGAGTGATATG